ATGAGCTAAAGGAGGCAGGACATGAGCTAAAGGAGGCAGGACATGAGCTAAAGGAGGCAGGACATGAGCTAAAGGAGGCTGGACATGAGCTAAAGGAAGCAGGGCATGAGCTAAAAGTAGAAAAACACTCACTAAAAACAAGCAAGATAATGGTTAAAAGTAGAAAACTGCGAAAGAGCAAAGGTTAGCTAGAAAGAGCAAAAAATTAGCAAAGCCTAATTGAAACAAAGAGAGAAAGTGCTAAAACATATACCTGCTAAAACTTCACAGTAGTAGAATCATAGCTAAAAAGAGGGCGAAAATAGCTAAAGAGCAAAGACAAAGACTGGTTAGAAGTAGCAAGACAGCTAAATGTAGCAAAAAGAAAGCTAGAAGTATAAAAACATGAGCTAAAAATAGAAAAATAGCTTAAAGCAGCAAAAGGTTAGCTACAACCTTAAATTAGCGCCGAAGACAGAAAAGGAATGAGCTGAAATAATTTGTAAATAAAAACATTTTTAAAAGTAATGTTTTTATTTTGAAGGCCTGCTACGGCATCCAGAAGGTGCCAAAAGGCAGCTGGCTCTGCCGCATCTGTGCGCTCGGCATCCTCCCAAAGTGCCAGCTGTGTCCAAAAAAGGGCGGAGCCATGAAGCCGACGAGGAGCGGAACCAAGTGGGTCCACGTCAGCTGTGCCTTGTGGATCCCAGAGGTACCGACCCGTCCTCCCAGGTAAATTACTATTGGGTCCTCGCTGCAGGTGTTTAAACCAGCTGTCGTGTCTCACCTGTCGACCAGGTGAGCATCGGGAATCCAGAGAAGATGGAGCCAATCACCAACGTGTCTCACATTCCCAGCAACAGGTGGGCTCTGATCTGCTGCCTGTGCAAGGAGAAGACTGGAGCCTGCATCCAGGTACCAGACCTGCCCAGTCCAGCTAATTAGTTATTCAATTAATTAATTGATTGATTGATTGATTGATTGATTGATTGATTGATTGATTGATATCCTTTCAGTTTCTGACTTGTTTTTCTCTGTTCCGTCTCCAGTGCTCTGCCAAGAACTGCAGAACTGCGTTTCACGTGACGTGCGGCCTGCAGGCCAGCCTGGACATGAGGACCGTGCTGACGGAGGACGACGAGGTGAAGTTCAAGTCCTTCTGCCCCAAACACTCCGGGATCGAAGGAACCGAGMCCCCGGCCAAAGACCCGGGACCCGAGAAGGAGAGCCCCCGGGACAAGAAGAGGTGGCCCAGCAGCGGGCAGGAGGAGCTCAGCAACCAGCAGGAGCAGGAGAAGAGAGTCAACCTCCGCAAGATGAAGCTCCAGGAGCTGGAGGAGGAGTTCTACCAGTTCGTGGAGGTGGAGGAGGTGGCCAAGAACCTGAAGCTGTCCCTGGAGGTGGTGGACTTCCTCTACCAGTACTGGAAGCTGAAACGCAAAGCCAGCTTCAACCAGCCGCTCCTCGTGCCCAAGAAGGACGAGGAGGAGAGCCTGGCTCGCCGCGAGCAGGAGGTGCTGCTGCGGCGCCTGCAGCTCTTCACCCACCTGCGGCAGGACCTGGAGAGGGTAGGTTTCTCCTGGGTCCAGACTCAGGACTGCAGACCCACCAAGGGCTCAATGCACATTGAACTGAGTCTAGTTTTGTTTCTACTTCTTCTGTTCCTTTTCTTCTAGTTCTTGTTCTTCTGGTTTTTGTTCTAATCTTGTTCTTTTTCTAGTTCTTATGTTTCTTATTTGTTCTGTTCTTGTTCTGTTTCTTTTCGGGTTTATCTAAAGTTTTTGGTTTTAATCAGAATCCACAAACCTTCAGTCAGGCTGAGATCAAAGCTTTGTGGTTATTTAAGACCTAAATGTTCATGTCTGTTGAAGTCCCCACAAACTGCAGAAATACTTCCTGTTAGCTTAGCGGCTAACAACACGTTGTCCTGTTGTTGATATAATCTTAAATGTTCGGCTCATGTTTGGTCAAAGGAGCCTCTTCAGAGTAGCTAAAGACCGGCTGTAATCCTCCTGCCACCCTCTTTAATACCACACCATGRCGCTGCCACCRCCGTGCTGGACYCTTATTTTTAGGTTAAATTTCTGAACTTTAACGGTGGAGCTAAAAGCAGGTCTCGTGTCCCCCTCAGGTCCGGAACCTGACCTACATGGTGACCCGGAGGGAGAAGATGAAGCGCTCGCTGTGTAAAATCCACGAGCAGATTTTTCAGCACCAGGTCCGGCTGCTGGACCACGAGCTGCTCAACGGTGAGTCCGGCTCGTCTTCGTCGTCTTCGGCTGATGTGAGGTGATTCTGAAGCTGCTGGTCTTTTGTTGTTTCAGGCGATCCTTCAGAGAAGGACCTGGAGACGCTCTGCTCCCTCGGCTGGTCGTCCCCGCAGGAGTCCTCCCAGCTGGGCCACTCGGGACTGAGAACTAAACGAGGGTCCCTGAAGCAGAAGAGAAAGAAAAGCCCCCCCAACTCCTCCCACTGCGACGAGAAGCCGCCAGAGACGAAAGACCCCGAGAYGTCCCGGGTCCAGGAGTCTGCAGCAGAGACCAGAGTCCAGAAGTCTCACATGAGGCTACAGATCTTCCTCCCAAAGCTCCAGAGACCAGAGGTGGTCCTGGGAGCTCCTATCAAGCTGCACAAACTCGAGACCGTGAAGGGCCTGAGGCGGGACCCCACAGGACAGGACCCCACAGGACAGGACCCCACAGGACAGGACCCCACAGGACGGGACTCCACAGGACAGGACTCCACAGGACGGGACTCCACAGGACGGGACTCCACGACGCGGGAAATCGAAGAGGCGGTGAGGCTGAAAGACGAGCAGGAGGAGAGGGGGAGGAAGAGGAGGAGTGACGCTGCAGATCAGCTGATCAGGTTTGGGTCCAGGCACCTGGAGAAGACGGTCTCCATCCGTCTGGTGGACATCAGGAACTCGGACTCAGACGAGCGAAGGAGCGCCGTGACGTTAAACACTAAGCTGAACAAAACCGTCCCGCTCCCTAAAACCAACGGCTGGCTCAGAAAGCCCCCCGACCCGGACCGGGACCGGGACGCCCCCAGTAGACCCGGACACCTGAAGAGCTGGGGGAAGTTCCGGATCCCCAAGAGGAGCGGCAAGCCGCTGAGGGAGGAGCAGGAGGAGGAGCGCCGCAAGCCCCTCCTGCGGCCGCTCACCAACGCGTCGGAGCAGTCGTACCTCAGGACGCGGCTGCGCGCTGAGAGCGACGGCGCCGCCGGCGAGCTGGAGCCCTGCCTCAAACAGTGCCACGCCCACAAACTGAGGGGCGACGCCACGCTGGGCCGCCAGTACGGGTCCGAGGTGATCCGCCATGGCGTCCTGGCCTCCTGATGGAAAGAAGCTCCGCCTCCACAGCCGCTTCGCCGTACCTTTAAAGTTTGAACCCTCGATTAGCGACAGAGCTTTTATTTATTTTTTTATTTGTTCGATGATGTAAAGAAATGTTCTTCCCCTGATCTGCAGCTGGTTTTATTTTTATTTATTATTTTTTCGCCCGTCGGCCGAAAAAAATGTCAAGTTGCCAATTTTAATGCTCGCTCCGCCCCCGAGGAGGAAGTTCATCAATGCTCCGGGACCATGAGCTGTCGTTTTAACGCCATAAAGTTAGCTTCAACTACGCACACCTGAACACACACCTACACACACCTGAACACACGCCTACACACACCTGAACACACACCTGAACACACGCCTACACACACCTGAACACATCTGCATACACCTGAGAACACACCTACACACACCTGAACACACCTGAACACACCTACACACACCTACACACACCTACACACACCTGAACACACACCTACACACACCTGAACACACACCTACACACACCTGCATACACCTGAACCCACACCTACACACACCTGAGAACACACCTACACACACCTGAACACATCTGCATACACCTGAGAACACACCTACACACACCTGAACACACCTNAACACACCTACACACACCTACACACACCTGAACACACACCTACACACACCTGAACACACCTGAACACACACCTGGATCAGTTACTTCCTACCTTTTAGATAAAGTAAAAAAACAAAAGTCGTTAAAATAACTCAAAGCTGAAACAAATTACAAAAAAAAAATAAATAAATAAATAAATAAACAAACAAACACCTGTCCTCAGGTGTCGCGGTTCACCTGTCCTCAGGTGTCGCGGTTCACCTGACCCCAGGTGTCCCGGTTCACCTGTCCTCAGGTGTCCCGGTTCACCTGTCCTCAGGTGTCCCGGTTCACCTGAACCATCTCCTCCAGGTGTCTCAGGTCTAAAGGTTTCCTCTTCCAGATGTTCAGCAGGATTTGGATCATGACTCAGAAGGTCCACTTCAGGACTGTCCAGTGTTTGGTTCTGGTCCAGGTGGACTGGTTTTACCTGGTCTGAGGACCCCAGACCTGAGCTGCACGTTTTTCTCCAGAAGGCCTTGATGGTCTTGAGATTCCACAGTACCCTGCACAGATTAGAGACCCAGAACAGAACCGAGCCTCCTCCATGTTGGTTCTGYCACTGGGCAGCTGTGGACCAGCAGTTCTGGTTGCAGGTTTGATTCCCGGCAGTCCAGGTGTCCCCGAGGAAGACCCCGAATCTCTGGACTTTTGTAAACCAGGACTTGTGTGTACCCCACCCTGCAGGTGGTGGACCCACAGGAAGGYCCCTCCCACAGGTGACCCAGGTCCAGGTGAGGGACATGTCTGTCCAACAGGACGTTCCTGTTGTCTTACACACCGTGGCTCCAAACAGTCCTGTGACTACCTGACAGACGACAGGTCAGCACGTTTTTATTTCAAGAAACACTTTTTCATTTTAGAGTTTTGTTTTGAGACGTCGTGTTTTTAAACACGTTTCTCTCCGTGTGTTTGAGCTCAGATTAAATCCTGACTGTAGGTTTTAGTTGTTTAGTTTGAACCTGCGAACAGAGAAATCCTGAATAATGTTTGAAACTCGCCATCAGCACTTAAGCGTCTCGTGTGCCTAACGTTGATTTGAAGCATTTGCACTAAGAGAGGTCGGCTCGGGTTCCAGGAGCGCCCAGATATTTTTACACAAAACGAAGAATCGTTTCTTTTCTACCCGCTGCTGCTGAACTACTGTTATGCAAAAAGAGATGTTTGGAGGGAAGACAGACGTAGAGAAATAAAAAGATAAACCCTGAACAGAGTCTGTGTCAAGTTTGTCAACAAGCATTTTTATAATTTAGGTTAAAAATATTCTAGGTCTGTATTTAGTTTTCTTTAAATCTAGATATATTATTTTATAAATATGGAATACAATGCAGTTTATTATAGATCTATAATCCATGGAAATTATTTCTACATTGAGATATCTAGATTTTCTACATCAAAAACATTTATCCATCAATGTAAATCTAATAAAGAAATACAGGCTGTAAAAACATGATGTGCAGATGTGGATATTTGTAGAAGTAAAGGATCTAGATCCACAGAATTAATGTGTATAATTTTATTATAGATCCAAATTGCAATAGCTGGTCTGAGCTATCTAGATCATTGTTTATTTCTGCACTGATCTATCTAGATTCTTCTAGATCTATAATATAAAATAATAGATTTATTGAATCTAGACAAAACAAGGATTGGTGTGGATGTTTGTAGATCTAGTGTAACCTAGATGAGTTTTTAGAAGTAGAAAACTGGATTTGCACAAACTGGTAATTATAGATCCAAATCACAATGTAATAATTCTAAATGTCTACATTGTGTTATCTAGATTTGTTTATTTCTATGTTGACCTATCTAGCTAGTTGGAGATCTCAAATTACCAACATTTGCACATCTAGTTGKTTTATTTCTGCATTAATTATCTAGGTTATCTATATGACAAATTCRCACACCTCTTTGTCTAGCTTTGTTGTAGATCTAGAATAAAAGCATTTATCTAGATGAATCTAGGTAACTAAACACAAATGCAACAGATTTTTGTAAATCTAGTGTAACCTTGATAACTTACCATAGTATAAAAAATAGATGTGTGTAAATTGATTATTATAGATCTAGATCACAATAGACACTTTACATGTCTTTCTACACTGAGTTTTCTAGATTCCTGTAGATCTACAAAAAAATTTACGTACATCTATCCTATGTTTACATTAATATTTGTTTACTGACACTATGCACATATGTCTATGTTGAGTTATCTAGATGTTTTATATCTGAAATGACCAACGTTTGCACATCTAGTTGTCTATTTCTACATTAAATTATCTAGATTAATTTATATTTATAATAATCAATTTACACAGCCATCTGTGAAGCTCTATGTTGAACTATCTGTTGTAGGTTTAGAATATGAGCATAGATCTAGATAAATGTAGAAACCTTAGAAACAGGATGGATGTGCACCAGCAGATATAGATCTAGAGTAACTTGGATAATTTACTGTAGAAATAAACAAGATGTGTGTAAATAGATACTTATAGATCCAGATCACAATAAATGCAATGCGTCGTCTGTAGTCTATTTTTACAGTTTGCTGTCTAKGTTATTTAGATCTACAAATATCTACTGTTGCACATCTGTTCTTACATCTGATCTAGATTCCTCTAGATCTATAATTACCCATTTACTTCTACATTTACCCATCCATGTTATGAAGATCTATAAAAAATCTTTGTATATCTGTCCACACCTAAATCTTTTTCCAGTTAACTACGTTTATATCGACACAGATCTATACCTGGCTGTAAAAACATATTTAATTTGGTGTTTTGTAAATCTTCAGATTTATTTTTAACATTTGAATGATTTTGGATTTTATTTGTTAAACTTTGAATTTATAACAAACTATTTCAGATAACAGCTGAACCTCTGATATTGGAGTTTTGGCTGTTATTAGAGGTTCAGCTGTTATATGAACTTTCTTTGTTATTGGAGTTTCGGCTGATAATAATCTTCCAGAATTAGGTTATGTCTGTTTAATGATGGTCTGTTTTTAAAATCGTCTCAAAGCCTAATAGTTTCAAAATAAAAGTCTATTTTTAGATGTTCGTTTGACCTAAATGTCTTCATCAGTTTCAGCTCAGTGATAAAACCAAACAGATCAAAGTTTCAGATTCTGTCATAAAAAAAGTTAATTTTACTGAAATAAAACAGATTCAGATGTTCAACCACTTTATTGCACGATTCAACAGAAGTGAGATCCTGCTCAAGTGTTTTCAGCTCTGCAGAAATGAGGGGAGAAAAAAAACAAAGTCTGAAGTAATTTTGTGATATTTACAAATAGATGAATTACTATTAAACTTATACATTATGTACATATTAGTCTCTGTTTGCTATGACAGTAGTTAGAATAAAACCTTCAGCTCTACAGCGCTGAACTACATTCATCAACTCAAAGTTAGCATCAAGAACGATACAGAGGAACGACCAGAACCAGGACCAGAACCTGTTCTGTACAGAACCAGGACCAGTTCTGTTCAGGAACAAACTCTGGTCTAAAGAAAAGATTTAGATTTTTTCTGAATTAACTCGTAATTTAGTGTCTTTCCTCTCAAACAGGCAGATTCTGCTGCACAAAAACACCTTTTATTTAGGTAAAAAAACCAAAACAAAAACTCCTTTAGGAACGTCTGTTTCATAACTTTTTATTTTAAAAACGACTCTGTTTTAACCCTGATTGTTTCAGTGCAGAGCCGATAAAAAAAAACTGTCTTCTGAAACAAGAAAAACTTCACTTTAACGTCGGAAACTTCTTTATTTTTATATTTTATTTTAACTCGTCGTTCTGTTTGTTGACAGGAATTCGGGTCACAGAGGTCAAGTCTGGTGTTCATACTTTCCTTCTTAGTCTCAGTTTTTTTTATCATGAGCTGAAAAATATTCAAAGCTTTAAGTCATCGCGGCGTCTCGAACACGTYTCAAACTTGTCTCGAAAACGAGTCTCAAAAACACGTCTCGAAAACTTGTTTGAAATGCGTCTCAAAAGCATGTCTCAAACGCGTCTCGAAAACTCGTTTCAAATGCGTCTCAAACGCATCTCAAACTTGTCTCAAAATCTTGTCTCGAACTCGTCTCAAATGCATCTCAAACTCGTCTCAAATGCATCTCAAACTCGTCTCGAAAACACGACTGAAACGCGTCTCAAATTCGTCTCGAAAACCTGTCTCAGAAACGTCCCGAACTCATCTCAAACTTGTTTGTTTAGTTTCTGTCAGGTTTAAGGCGGATCTCACGGAGTTGTGACCATTTCTTAAAACAGTTTTCATTAAAGTCTCGAAGTGTTTTTCTCCTAAATTTCTTTGTTGCTTGATTTCCAAACCTTTGTGCTACAAATCTCTCAAAACAGATGTAGAAATGTTGCAACTTTCTCAAATCTGTCTCAATTTAGTTTCCATAAGTCTCAAAGAGAGATTTCATCTGGCTGCAACTCAAACATTTACAATCCAGAACGTCTCGAAATGTTTATGGGTTTTTAATTTTAAAGTTTAATTGCTTAATTTTTAAACATTCATACAACAAATTTCCTCATTGTGGGTTCAGAGTTGATGCAGGAGTCTCAAATCTGTCTCAATTTAATGACAAGTCTCAAAACGTTTGCAAAGACTTTGTTGTTGTTTTGTTTGATTTTTTTTTACATTAATGCAACAAACTTTCAAACTAGATGCAGAATTGTTGCAAATGCCTCAAACTTGTCTCGATTTAGTTTTTGATTAACCTAGAGGCAGTACCTCACCGGGCTAGGATTAGTTGGGGGAACGGGATTTGCAACGGTGTCTCCAAACCGTCTGCAAGGACTTTTAATTTTCCCACAAGTTCAAGTTTCGATGCTTGATTTTTTTTCCATGTGTACGACAAATTTCCTCTCAAATTAAATGCACCGTTGTTGTGAGTGTCTGAAACCTGACTCAGTTTAGTTTCTGTAAGTTTTATCGTGGAATTCACAAGAATCTCCAACATTCTCAGGGATTCTTCGTTTTTGGTTTCAGTCGCAGATTCACAGTTTGGACTTTTGAACACGTTCAGAATCTTTGTGAAACTATTTTTTTCAAAAGAATTGCTGTGACAAAATGTGTCTTTATTTTATCTCAATTTAGTTGCCAGTGTCTCAAACCTGTCTCAATTTAGTTTCTGCAAATTTGGAGGTAGCGCCTCACCAGGCTAGGACTGGTTGAGTCTCCAGAGCGTCTTCAAAGGCTCTCAATTTTCTCACGAGTCAGAGGTTCAGTCTGGCTGCTCGCATTTTAAAAAGAAAACATTTTTGTCCAAAAATTTTTGTTTCAAAATAGTTTTTTTCAGTCTCAAACTTGCCAATTTAGTTTGAGTTTTAAGGTAGCAACTTAAACACACGACATTTACGACTCGAAACAATGGCGAGGACTTTTGATTTCCTCAAGAGTTGCAGTTTTGTTGCTTGATTTTTGAACATTTTTGCAACAAAATTCCTTTTAAAAAAGGTCCAGAGATGATGTGTCTCAAACCTGTCTCAATTTAGTTTCTGTAAATTTGAAGGTGAAATTTAGAGGAGAATCACAAAACGTTCTTGGTGGTTCTCCAGGTCTTTGTGGATGTTATATCTTCGACTCACTTCCAATCTGTCACAAGAATATTGAGATTTGTATTTTGACACCTGCTGGGTCTAAAACTTGTTTTTGAAAATAATGTGCGCAGCCAAGACTAGAAATGTTCTAAACTCTCCTCGCTGATCGCAAACCCTCAGAATTCAGCGAGACGTAACGAGTCTCCAAGACAGTCAGGTGATTTTCTCCAATTTCCCATCTTGATTCATTAAGCTTTAATTAGTGATTTCCCTCGTTAAACAGAACAAATGAGTGTTTGACTCTGAAACCTGCGGAGGAATAAACTGGATCTGGGAACAGAACGTCTCAGATCTTCACAGCGCGACTCAAACCTGAAAACATCTCCACGTTCAGGCGCTGAAGCGGGACGTTTGAAAGCACCGTGGAACTCAGGAGCGACTGAACGAAGAGACAGGAAGCGAGTCCTTCAATAAGTAGTGTTTTGAGTCTGAGCCCTTTTAGTTATTTTGTTTTCTAGAAAACATCTGTCACTAATCAGAATCTTTAAAAATAAGGAGCTAAAACAAAGCAAGTGGTAAAAATACAAAAATTAAATCTACATTTACATGAGAGCTAAAGCTACGTAAACAAGTCCAGAGGTCATTTGAGGCCTGATCAGTCATAGTGTCTTACTGGTGTTTTAATCCCGACAAACAGAGAAACCTGACTGTTGTTAGAAAACTCAGCTGTTTGATGAAGGGTGACAGATGTTCGTTGTTCCAGATGTTCAAACTAAAATAACGTGGTCTGATTGTTGTCCGACCCGCTCATCTCACCGCACACCGTTGAACAAAAAGCTGAAAATAAAAGCTGAAGAAGTGGACGTGGAGCTGGAGATCAGCTGCTTTCCCTGATGCGAGCGTACAGTGCCTCCGGTTCATGATCTGGTTGATGATGTCAGAGTCCGGGTTGGTTCTGAAAGGTCCCGTCAGGCCTCGGCTGCTTTCCTCCTGGAGCCCTTGTTTTTGGCCTCGGCCTTCCTGGAGCCTTTGGCACGAGCGGCGGAGGCGTTCGTCTCAGAGCCGACGGCCTGGGCCGGGTGGTCCGTCCTCTCCAGCTCGTCRTGCTCCGTGCAGCACAGCTGTCCCGTGGGGGGCCAGGGACGCAGCGCCCCCTCCTGGTGAGCCTTGCAGAAGGAGTTTGGACACAGTTGGCAGAAAGCCTCGGAGTTCTTCCCGCAGACGTCACAGTGATGCCAGGGGCAGTCCCAGCGGCCTGCCGAACAAACAGGTACCAGTTTAGAGACGAGGACAGAGACATCTTCAGGACACTTTTACTGCTAATGCTAACACTACACTGGCCTAATGCTAAATCTACCAATGCTAACACTCATATTGCGAATGCTAACACTACACTGGCCTAATGCTAAATCTAACAATGTTAACACTCGTATTGCTAATGCTAACACTACACTGGCCTAATGCTAAATCTAGCAATGCTAACACTCTTATGCTAATGCTAACACTACATAGGACTGTTAAATCTAGCAATGCTAACACTCTTATGCTAATGCTAACACTACACTGGCCTAATGTTAAATCTACCAATGCTAACACTCTTATGCTAATGCTAACATTACATAGGACTGTTAAATCTACCAGTGCTAACACTCTTATTGCTAATGCTAACACTACACTGGCCTAATGCTAAATCTAACAATGCTAACACTCTTATGCTAATGCTAACACTACACTGGCCTAATGCTAAATCTAACAATGCTAATACTTTTATTGTTAATACTAGCACTACATAGGACTAATGTTAAATCTACCAATGCTAACACTCTTATGCTAATGCTAACACTACACTGGACTAATGTTAAATCTACCAATGCTAACACTTCTATTGCTAATGCTAACACTAAATAGGATGGTTAATTTTACTAAAGCTAATAATAATTCAACTAATGTTAACGCTATTAATGGTAATTATGCTAAAGCTAATACTGTTGCTAGATTTATACTTACTGGTGCWATTTTTGCTAATGCTAATACTTGTAATACAAAATCTACTAACGCTGCCCAATTAATGCTAATGACACTGCTAATGTTTTTCCCCACTAATATTAATTTTCTAAATTAATACTATTCATAAATTTTGCTAATGWTTATAATATTGCTTATGTTATTCTTACTAATACTAATTTGCTAACAGTGATCCTACTAGTCCTTTGCTACTTTTAGTGGTTTTAGTACTTACGGCTAGTTTTTTGTTACATTTAACTAATGTTTAGTTACTTATAGCTAGCCCTTTGCTACTTCAAACTTTTAGCTTCTATTTTTTTAGCTTCTGTTCTTTTCTTTGACAGTTATTAAGGACTCAGTTTTGTAGTTTTTTTGCATTTATTTTAGTTCTACGATCAGTGTTTTCACAAAGAGCTCCAGTTTTCAGGTCCGACTCACCAAACGGTCTCTTGGTGAGGTTCAGGCAGGACAGGTGGTAAGCTTTGGTGCAGGTTTTTTTGCCACACAGCACCAGCTGACCTCCGTCTCTGCAGCGGAAACACTCGTCCTCAGATTTCTTCTTCCCTTCACTTCTTCTCTTCTTGCATTTTCTCTTTAGCCTCTTAGCTTTCGGCTCGGCTGCTTGGCCGTTCTGGGARCAAAAAGAACCACTTTAAGCTTTAACGGTGTAAAAAGAAGAAGGATCAATCTGTTAAAMGCGGTTAAATGAAAGGAGGACAAAGCGTTCACCTTCGGTCGATCTCCGAGGAAGCCGCTGCAGTTGGGGGCGCCGCAGCGGCAGATGGTCTTCTCGTTGCCGAGGCAGTCCAGGTTGTAGTTGAAGGTCAGCTCAGTCCCTGAAGAGGAGGAGGAAAAGCAAACTGAAGAAGTTCTGCTTCGGTTTGAACAGATGAACGGCTCAGCCCGGTCCTGCCTCACCTGCTGGGATGTCGCAGACWGCGAACAGACCGACGCGAGTGTCTCCGTTCACCGTCCACTTCTGCGTCTCGCAGTTGGGCTGGCAGCTGTGGTTCATGAAGCGCGAGTAGTTCCCTTTGGGCCCGGCGTCGATGATCCGATCCTTTAACATCAAAACGCGAAGAAACGCTGAGAAACTTTTATGGTTTATCAAAGTCACGGTTCATTACAGACACAGTGTTTGTAGTATTGACGACTGTAGAGTTACAGTCAGCTGTTCTGTAACGCTCCCAATGCAATACCAGCTGTTTTTCTGTAGCGCCCGGTGGAAACGATGCAGCAGGTGAAGCTGCACCCTGAGCCACCGTGGAGCTTCTTCACGGTCTGTTTTTGTTTACGGCTCACACTGACCTTATCGATGGTCAGCATGTAGAAGTTGGTGATGTTGTTCTCGTGGGCGGACTTGATCCTGGCTCTGCACTCCTCCTCGTCGATCAGCTCTCCGATGTACTCGTTAACAAACTCGCTCTGTTTGAAAAGATTGAAAAGAAGTCAGGAACGAGCGGAGAGCTGGATCCCCCCGCCTGACGAGCTCCTCCTCTACCTTCTTGATGTCTCTGAGGGAGATCAGACCCCAGCCCTTGCCCGGGGTCTTGATGATCTTGGTTTCGGGGTAGAGGCGCTTGGTGAAGTCCTGGTTGCAGCAGCGCTCTCCGCTCGGACACACCTGGGGGTGGCACTCGTACTGCAGCATGCGGTTCAGGCACTCCGACTCGAAGCCGCACGGCCGCTCGTCCGCCGGCTTGCAGTTACATTTGGGGATCTCAGAAACGTCGGCCGTGTAGACCTGGACCTTACCGAAGGGCTTGTTGACCTGAAAACCATCGGACTTATTGAACTCCTGACAGGTTGAGGTCGTGACACTCAAAGACCACAGACACACGCCACACCTTGATAAATTTGTAGGGAGGGGGTTTCCGGCTGCTTTCTTGAGCTTCCTTGGCCTCTCGTTTTATCTTCATTTCTTTGAATCGAGCTTCAGCCTCGAACAGAGCTGAGGACAGAATTTATACACGATGTCACAATTATACATAAAACCTGTTATAACATTAAACAGTATTTGACAAACGTTTACTTCAACTGTAAAACAAGACTTAAAAACAACCAGTGGCCAGTTTAGTTTTTATAAATGATAAAAAAATATATATTGTCACTCACACATAATATTTATGCTGCAAACTATTCTGGGTAAAAGATGGAGGACAACAGAGCTACTTCATGGAAGGAGAACCCCAGCTTAGCCTGTTAGCTTTTGTGCTAGCTCCCAAACTAACACATTAGATACTTCCTGAGCTAACTAAAGCCACATATTTATAAGTAATTAGTATCTGTACTTTTAATGTGCCGTTAGCTCCAGAGCTAATAATATTAGCTCTGGAGCTAACATGAAAGCTCACAGGCTGAAGTTTTCCTTCCATTAGCAGCACACACACATTCATTCATTCATTCATTCAGTATTTTTCAGACAAGTCACACTTTTTTTTCAAACTTTAGCTGGTCCTGTCACTTATGTTTTATTTGTCTCCATAAATTTTTTTAACTGATTCATCCTGACCAACATGAACATTACAGTCTGCAGCCATGAGATGGTGCTCCAGTCTTGTTATTACTACAGTTTATGTTGTTCTGCTGTTGTTTTGTTTTGTAGCAGAAAGTTTGGAGTGAATGAGTAGCTTGTGAGGGACTGGCAAAAAGCAGAGGTTATCTTACTGCACTGCAGAAAATGAAGAAAGCTAATTGTTGGAAGGCATTCGGCCCAGCTAGCTGGTTTTGAACAGAGAGCTGACTCACTGAGGGCCAGGGATCAAAATTTCAAAACGTACAAATCTTTTATTTTATTTGCGAAACAACAAAAATAAACTACACCAAACTTGAAGGATAAGAACTGAAGACAGTATCAGACCCTCCAGAAATACGAGGCTGATGATGAAAGGGTAGGAAGGCAGAGGACGCTAAACTAATGTTAGCTAGACAACAAAGGACGGTAAGCTAACATTAGCTAGATGACAGAAGACGGTAAGCTAATGTTAGCTAGATGAAAGAGGATGCTAAGCTAGCGTTAGCTAGACGATAGGATGCTAAGATGACAGGACGGTAAGCTAACGTTAGCTAGACGGAGGACGTAAGCTAATGTTTGCTAAATGACAAAGGATGCTATGCTAACGTTAGCTAAACGACAGAGGATATTAAGCTAATGTTAGCTAGACGACAGAGAATAATAAGCTAACGTTAGCTAGAYGACAGAGGACGGTAAGCTAATGCTAGCTAAATGACAGAAGATGGTAAGCTAATGTTAGCTAGGCTGTGCTACTTTTCTATTTATAGCTAGCTTTTTCCTATTTTAGCTTTTAGCTAACATTTTGATTTTACTTTGAACTTGCTGCTTTAAGCTAATGTTTTGCTACAGTTTTAGCTACCTCAGCTAATTTACAGCCAGGTCCTAAAGAACTTTGTCCTTTYTGTGAATGTTTTATTTATTTACTTGTCTCCTTTCAGACATCTTATTTTCTCAAATCTCTCTCTGTCTTTAAGTGATGGGATTAAAGTTATAAAATAAAAAATTAGAGTTTAAATCAAGATCCGTACCGTTCTTAAAGACTTTGCCGATGTTGGTTCTCTGGTATTTGCTGCCTCTGTCTCCTTCCATGTAGGGAAAGACTCGTCCCTGATGGGTCCAGAAGTAGTCTCTGGAGCCGAAGAAGAAGACGGGGAACTCTCCGATCTCGTGTCGGAGGTGCTGGATGTTGAGCGGGATGTTTTTGGGGTGCTGGATYTCAGCGGGCCACCACCTGACGGGGAGGAGGACGTCACCGTGTTTATTTGGGTGAACCGTCARCAGCTGACGGGCGACGCTGGTCGGCTCGTCTTACCGGTACGTCCCCAGCTTGACCCAGATGATGTCCCTGTATCTGGGCTTCTTCCCGGCCCGGCAGTCGTTGCAGAACCAGCTGCCGTCGGGCATGGCGATGTTCAGGCAGTCCGGGTGGAATGCTGCGGGACAGGACTCGCAGCACAGCAGCTGTCCTCCTGAAAAACACAAAACAAAATGTAATCTACTAAAACAAACTTCACTAGAAAGTAATTCTGGGTTGTTATCGGCCGTTAGAAGGAGAAAGTTATGGGTTCCTAAAATAAATTATGGTGCATCCCTAAAGACGAGCGGCCCCTCCGCCCTGGACGAGCCTGACGGAGGTTCCCCACCTTTGGAGCAGACGAAACACCAGCTGACGTTGACGTGGCTGTGGTGGCTGTAGCCCTTCTTGGCGTTGAAGTGGTTGGTGCAAACGATGGCGGTGTTGGTGATCATCTCGCTCCCTGCCGCCACGCACAGGTCACCCACGTGATACGCCACGGGGCACCGGAGGCAGCGCATCAAGCGGCCTGCGGGGCAGAGGCAGGGCTTAGTGTGAAGTTCCCTCTCAGAGGCTGTGGGCTGTTCGGCGCCTCACCTTTGGTGGCGCGCAGCTTGGTGCACGAGTCGTAGTGGCAGCTGAGGCAGGCGTGCAGCGGGCAGCGGAAGCCCTTGTTGTCGAACATGGTGAGCGGGTTGAGGCGAACGCAGGCCTCGTGGTAGAACTTACCGCAGTGAGGCGCGTGACAGCGGCGCACCTCGCCCTCCAGCTGCTTACAGATGAAGCATTTATGAGCTCCTGCAGGACAAACACACACTTTAATAATAAAACACACACCAACGTTTGTTTGTCTCTTTAATAACAGCTCCTCTACAGACCTGTGCTGCACTCCTGGCACAGCAGCTTCTGGTCCGGTTTGAGGCTCAGACCCAGGCAGTGCAGGTGAAAMGTCCCACAACACTGTCCCTCACAGACAACCAGGTCCTCACCTGTCTGCTCGCACACCTGCAAACAGGAAACACTTCAGCATACGGCAGCGTACATGAACTGCTGGCCTTTTACATGATTTAGTGTTTACATAGGGTTTTGTTACTTCTAGCTTTTAGCTAATATTTACAGTAGCTAGTATTTTGCTACTTTTAGCTACTATTTTGCTACTTTTGGCTAGCATTTTGCTACTTTTGGCTAGCATTTTTCTACTTTTGGCTAGCATTTTGCTACTTTTGGCTAGCATTTTGCTACTTTTGGCTAGCATTTTGCTACTTTTGGCTAGTATTTTGCTACTTTTGGCTAGTATTTTGCTACTTTTAGCGAGTATTTTGCTACTTTTTGCTACTTTTAGCAAGTATTTTGCTACTTTTAGCTAGTATTTTGCTACTTTTGGCTAGTATTTTGCTACTTTTAGCAACTTTTGGCTAGTATTTTGCTACTTTTGGCTATTATTTTTCTACTTTTAGCTACTTTTGGCTAGTATTTTTCTACTTTTAGCTAGTGTTTTGCTACTTCTAGATTTTAGCTAACATTCTGCTACTTTTAGCTATGGCTGTGCTCCTTTTAACAGCCATTATGCTAATTTAAGTATTTAGTCAGTTTTTGCTTTTCTCAACTAGCATTTAGCTACATTAGCTTTCAAACCACAGACCTTGTTGCTGTGAGGCAACAGTGCTAACCACTGAGTTGTTGTGTTGCTAATCAGCGAGTTTTTTTACTTTTAAAAGTCGTTTTCTGCTTATTTAAGCTAACGTGTAACTTATTAGTTGTTTTTTTGCTTGCCTTTTACTTCATTTGGCTTTATAGCAGAGTTTAGCTACTTTATCTTTTGCCAGTGTTTTTAAGGTTTTAGCTTTTAGCTAGCCCCTTGGCTAATTTTAAGTAGTTTTCTCGTTGTATTTTTCAGCTAAATCAAAATGAAAGCAGCAGCCCCACCTGACAGACGAGCTCCTTCTTCCGCTCGCTCTTCTTCATCCCGTCCAGGCTGTCGATGGGAGAATCGGGACGTTCTTCGCTTCCAGAACCCTGAAGTGAACAGAACCAGGAGTTAAACCAGAACCAGAAGAACCACAGGACAGCGCTGAAGGTCCGCTCTAAGCTCCTCCTCCTCCTCACCTCTGGATCAGAACAGGCCGAGGACCGCCTCTTCTTCGGCCTCGCCGCCTGGTTCTCCACGTCTTGTTTCCGTTTCCTCCGACGCTTCGGCTTCTCTGCRTTCAGCTCACCTGCGAACGGTCAAAACGTTTGTTAGGATTGTTCAAAACAGGCGAGTCAAACTCAAGGCCCACGGGCCGAACCTGGCCCGTGAACATTATATCAGGCCCCAAAGACGGTTCTTTAAAGGTGAAATCATTTTGCTTCTCATGACAGTTTTAAACTTTAAAACCAACTTTAAAGGGCACTGATGAATTTTAGAA